GTAGGAAAATGGAGAGGATTACCCGGCAAAGGCAAGATGGTGACGATCGCTAGGTCTTCATTCATTGGCCTCGGCCTTCTTGGCGCAATCGCCCGAACCATCGTAGGCCTGTTTGGAATGTCCTCAATGTGCATCCCTCCTGGTTTGAATGGGTTCGGATCAGCACACTGGTAAGCCATGACCGGTGGCTTGGCGCTGGAGAACAGAGCAGGTTGAGCTTGAGGTTGCGACAATGGCGCTTGGTTGTCTCTGCCAAATAAGGGTTTTCTTGACGCATTGGGGGTTTTACTGTTGCAGGCAGAGTGAGCGCAGTTATCAGAGGGGGACAGAGAGGCATCAAGCAAAGTGGTTACTCTGCCCAGGCAAAGCTCAGTCCCTGGGTGGTGGGTCTCCAAACCCTGTGTCCCACCAGTCATGAACAATAGGGTAGTCGGCCATCGAACGGTGATTGGCTCCGGCGGTGGCACAGCCTGAGAGGTGGACACCTGTGCCCTGGCCCAAGCCGAGAAGGACTCAAAGACTGGTGGGCTGCGTCACCTCGGCCCAGAGGCCAAATCAGTTTCCAAGGCACTGGGCTCGATCTGCTCGAGGATCCCCTTTTCATTAACTTCAACCGCAGCCTCCTTCTCCTTACTGTTTACCACCACGGTTTTACCTTTCCCATTAGTGCCGCTCAGACAATTCAACGCAATGTGTCCCCCATGCCTACAAGCAAAACATCTCATAGAAGATTTACACGCCTCTCTAGTGTGACCTGCAGTCAGACATCTAGAACAAATCCCGGGTGTCAGGGCACTCATGGGATTTTTTGCAGCAGACCATTGACCCAAAATAGAACCAGCCTTCAAACTTGGTTCAGTGGCAAAACGCTCTGGCCTTGCCTGATTGAACTGACCAGTAACAAAACGCTCTGACCCTGCCTGCTTGAACTGACCAATGGGCTCTTTCCCCTTTTCTTTTGAAACACCGGAATGAACTGGGAAAAACAAGCGATCAAACACATTTCTCCTTGGTTGATGAACCGAAATTGGAACTCTGTTAGCACCAGTCATCGGATTTTGTTTCACTGCATATGCGAAAGAGACTGATGGATTGATCAAATTAGCTCCCTGGCCATTGCTGCTTTTTTGAACATAGGTCCAAGAGGCAGCTTCTTCAGCATAGAAAATTCTCCACTCACGAACCCAGTTTGGGCCACCATTGCTCCAGAGGTGAAAGAACACTTTGAAAGAAGAACACTCAAAAGAACGCAGCTTAACGATGTGAAAACCAACGAGACTCGAAGAAACCGAAAAATGAAAAACCCGATCAGCGAGAGGAAAGACATCAAAATCATCAGCAACACCACCGATCGTGGCCTGGAGGATGGCTCCCACCGAAGATGGAGAGAGCTTAAACTTACAGTGGCCAAAGGAGGCGACCAGGAGGAACGCTCGCCCGCGGGTTACGGGGGACACCGAGCAGCCATACTTGGACTTGATCACTCCTTGAATGCCGATGCCAGGTCGAGTACTCAGACCACTAAGGTTCAAGGACTGGGTCGGCGCAACCATGGCAGGCACACTTCGTCAGCGACAGCTATGAACCAGGTCCATTGCCACAGATGGACGAAGGACAATGAATGTCGATGGAGAGGTCACTGGGGTTGCCGAGGGGGGGAGTGGGGGAGGCAGCCCACGTCGGCGATGACAGGGGCGGCGCCGAGGCGCCCGGGGTGGCACCGAGGGCGGCACGAGGGGAGCAAACAATTTCTTGAAGATCTTTGTTAGGGACAGGTTAGTATTTTGATCTTCACTTCATTTTAATTAGGTTTACTGCCTAAATTGCAGTAGGGATTGAAAATAGGTGTTTGTTCCATGGTGACGAATTCTAAGGGGGGGGAGGGGGTTGTCATCTTCATTTTATTTAGATGGTGTAGTGATTAGCGAATGCAGCATGCTGGACATCCAGTGCTCTAAGGAGCCTATTTGAAAACACCAAGTACTTATGGGCCTCAATTAGGTTCCGGATGAAAGATTTATGTCCTCCGCAACAATACTGTCGGACAGCTGGCAAACCGAAGGCTTGCACTCCAGGAAGCCCCTGCATATGATGCATTTATATCCTATATGTTGTAGAGGCTACTGAAGGAGTCTCTCAAAAGTTGTCACACCCTCAAATTGTTCCCAAACATACTCAAGTTACCAATATTAGATAGTGGTATGTTCTCATTTGTTTCCGTATACAAATTTAGGAACGAGCTCACTCTATTTTTAACTTTCATTGTCATATCCAAAGGTTGCATGTCGTCACTCTATCAGTATATGATTAAGCCACACTAATGCCTCTCATCAAACATAGGCACTCAAAAATTCGGACACATAATCATCCCTATGAACACAGATATATACACTCTACTCCTAATAGCAACCCCAAAAGACAGCCGATTGACCACTATGGATGAGCACCTCACCTAACCACTGAAATAATGGTAATATTAAATCTTGGATAAAATCTAGATGACCCAAATTTGGGTGGACAGACGCCACAATAATAAACCTAACCATCTAAGGTACATTAATTTAGTTCATGTCTCTCATCAAATTCCGAAAGTGTCGTATTTTATATTTGTCAGCATGGCCCATGAGTTATGTTACATTTTTAGGCTTGTGTTGAACTCTTCTAGTAATTAATGGTGATGTTTTTAAAGAAATGAATACCATAGGTTATGTTATGTTTTAGGTATATAAAAGGAGACACGATCATATACATTCAACTCTTCATCTATAGAGTGGAGAGTGTGGATTACAACAGAAACAAAAAAAAAAAGAATGTAGAAATTAATGCATACACTCTGTGAACCACTAGTCGTTTTAACCAATGCTAGTAAGCATACAACCAGTGACAATAGTACAAGACTCCTAATCATAATAGTTTGATTAAAACTATTACATATCCATTTGTTTGCTGGTAGCTTGTAACTGACATACATATGAAAACAAATCCGGCATAAAGACAAATAATTATATGCACATACATATATACTAACAAATATATGTTCATGCGTTGCAACATATCTTACAATTTGTTGCCTGGTCACTTGGACTTGGACCATTTACGGTTTGGAGATTTATTCCTCGCTAGTTGTCGAACTTCGCTTGACATATCTTGAAATCGGACTTGATATAAATCATTCATTGACATCCGTTGTTCTGACTCGTCACATAAATACGGATTTACATATAGAACATAGAGTATTATGAATGGTACGGAGGATATCATGGGACGTAAAATAAATAAAGATGGACAGATCCGTTTCATTCGTTCTTTCACGCACGCAAGGCTGCAAGCGCGCCGTGGCTGTTGGGAAACTTTATTATGCATGATGAGAAGAGAAAAAAAGAAGAAGGCGAGAATAGAAAGACGTGCCAGGAGGCCGGCGTTGAGTACGTCAAAGCATGAAGCTTCTTCTAGCTGACGCGCGTGTGCACGTGCCGACCTCTGTGGCTGTCGGCCTGGGGGTTCTGCCTCTGCTGTCCGCGCGGGTGTCCGAGTCTGATGATGATCTGATCCGTCCACCGCCAGAATGCCCTTGTTGGATTACCTGACAGGAAAATATACCGGACTAAATCGATTTCAGTTCACTGCAATAATATATATAGTGCAAAATTTGGTAAAGAGAACCCCCGAAGCTGCTTGCTATAAACTTTATTTGCTTGTGGCTAGTATGAACCTCACTAATCTATACTAGCTACTCACTCCGTCCAAACATTGTGTCATGTTTTAGTATCTCAAGTTTCACCATCTTCGCCGATCGTATCACCATGATACAATGTTTTTCTCTCACAACAAAACAAAGATCAGCGGTTTATAAGCCACGAAACGATCAAGCGAACAGGTGTGTTTAACCAATTATACATTTAAAAGTATTAATATTTATGATATCAAATGAATACAATTATATTAATTACAAAATGTATTTTCATAATAAATTAATTTGGAGCAAAATAAATGTGAATACCATTCACTAAAAACTTGGTCAAATCATGTCATTGCTCTTGGTCCTGCTTTCATCCGTCTCACAGTGATCCAAGACCGTCGACAATGAGGCGCCTATGGTAATAACTTTGTCAATCACGAGAATTTATCAGCTCAGTCTTTAAAGATGCTCATAGGAATAGAGTTTACATGAGTGTCTTAGTTGTACTATGTAATTGCAAAAATGTATCTGAAGAGCATATATATCTACCAAAACAAATATGATTGCCTCGGGAGGATTTTCCGTTCAATCTTCCTCTATGTTATTACAAAATCTAGTTCTTTTGGGTTATAGCCGATGGCTCTGTCTAGTTCCGTCTCTACTACAAAACTGGACATGACGGTTTCTTCACATCCATTTCCTCGCGAATGAAATGAGAAAGCGTAGGAATTTTTAAACTATTTTAACTGACATGTAGCTTATAGTTGCATTTTTTCGACGGATCGGAGGGAGTACTTTGCTACTATGAATTGAAATTGCACCAAGTTTCGTTGACATGCGTCCTGTTCGTTTGGCTTATAAGCTGTATTTTTTCAGCCAACGAATAATATTTTTTTTTCACACTGCTTGACTTATAAGCTGTATTTTTTCAGCCAACAAACAATATTTTTCTTTCACACCAAATCAGTCCACATTACTTTTAGCGTAGCTTATCAGCAAGCCAACAGGAACGGTGAAATACGTATGTACAGTACTAGCTTGTTTTGGATATATTATATTGATGCAAGTACAGGTAGCATGTCCACCGTACGTGTGCCCTTCACGCAATAAACGGGGGCAGATCCGATGCCCAGTTGACCACCTGCCCAGATCGAGGCCACCGCCGTAGCACGCATGTGGGACACGCTCTCCCATGCCGCATCACGCAAACCTCACCACGTACTCCTATACTGCAGCAGCATCCTGACGTGCCAGTGCCACTAGCACGCCCCCAGCGAACCCATCGAGCTAGCAGCAGCAGCCAGCATCTCCCCACGCTCTCATGTCGCCCCCACCGCACGCGCTCCTCTTCCTCCTGCTGCTCGCCTCGGCGCCGCTGCCGCGCCCGGCCGCGGCGGACGACCGCCCCCTCGTGCAGCAGTTCTACTACTACTCCCCTCCGCCGCCGCCCACTCCTCCCGGCGGTGGCGGCGGCGGCGGCTACGGCGCCTACCCGCCGCCGGCGACGACGACGACAGGGCCGCCGACGGGGAGGGGGAACAACAACAGCACGCCGGGGGCGCGCGGCCAGTACGCGTTCCTGTCCGGCTCCGAGGCGCCCGGACGAGTAGCGCCGCTCCGGCTGCCGCCGCTTGTCGTCTGCGCCGTGGCTGCCGCGGTGGTTCTTGCATGGCGTTAGGCGCTCGACTGTCGGTCGCTCTCGGACTCTCGGTTCAGCGAGTGTATCGCTGGTTATTGTCATTATTATGTGTAAGCGCGCTCTCAAATTGTGCTGATGGAGTCATATGATTTATTTATTTATGTGGATGTGTTTTATATATGCAACATTTTATATATAGCAGAAAAGAAATTTGGGGATGCATCTGCTCTGTATACTTTCGACTGAAAAGGTCGTGGCAAAGAAAACAAAATCATTTTTGCTTCAAGTCACACAAAAAAAAGTCATTTTTGCTTCATAGGCAAAATTTCCGAGTTTCCATATCTCTGTCTCGTGCTCTGTCACACACTTTGCCCCTATTTAGAACACGAAAAAAAAATTAACCCAATTTTCCAAACTAATGCAGATGTTACCAGTTGTGTGTGATTTAGCGTTTTTATTGGAAAAATGTTTTATTACAATCTTAAAAGCTATACAGCAAGTTGGTATACAGGCAATACAGCCCTATATACCTAACAAAAGGTACACAAACAAAAGAACTTAAACCTCATGTATTGGTACTATCAATTTGCTGTAAACTAGACCACTCATGTTCCTAGAAAACAAAAACAAAAAAATTGTTCACATGCATCAACTATTATGGTATCGTCCTGACTCTATCCTATGAATCCGGTTTCTGCAGAAAAGGCTAAGTACGCAGTAATTGGGTAATAGTAAGTAGCAGCTAAACTACATAATAGGAATGTCTTTTTCTTTTAAAAACCAGTATCATTCTTGTTGAGCAATATGGACAAGTCAGACAGCTACTTCTGATGAATTTTGTTATTTTCTTAATTACATTTAGCTAGGTTATCTGGTTTTTTTTCTCAGTACAACTTCTTGTTACAGATATCACAAAAAATTTACCATTTTCAACGAGACCTTCACTTTACGAATTAGTTTGTTAATGTTAAGGAGATTAATACATCTTAGGGCGTGTTTGGAAGATCGGTTTTAGAGCTAAAACCAGTGTTAATTACCGGCACCAAAAATTTTACGGTCGGATTGAGAAAGTGTTGTTTGGATGAGCTGTGAGACTATTTATTTTATCGTTGAATTCGGCCAAAACCTGCGGAAGAAAACTGTTGCGTGAGGAGGCCGGAAAAAAATATGATAAAGAGATGCACTTGTATTTTGGACCAATTCTTGGATAGATTCATGGGGAGGGATGAATTGGAGCGGCTGCTGCATGAGCTGGAGCAAACACGATGCGATTTCTAGCTGAATTGAAGAAGGTCAATGGAGATTAGCCTTGGTTGTTGACTCTGAACTTTTGTTTCTGAATTTAGCAATTTGTGATATGAGAATTTTGAACTTGGAAAACCATACCATGATCTAAAACCCAGAAAATCTATTTTTAGAACTAGGTGCAATTCTGTATACTTTGGGGCTCCTTGATTGTAGTTTTGCTTGAAAGTGATTCTTTGTGTTAATGCAGGTTAGTTTGTCTCCTGAACCGTTTTCTCTAAAGCCTGTATCCTCTGTTCTGTCAAGTTGGTGGAGAATTTGCAAATTGAAGTGTTTATCTACTGATGAGGAATATCAGGTGACTGAAATGAGTCTAAGATCATTGACGTATTGTTTGCAAGTTTCAACTCTGCTTGATATTCCTGTACCTGATATTAAAAAATAGTCATTTTGTTCATGGTCAATGCACTTGTCCTTGCTGAACAATAAAAAGCCTTCTCTATTCACACTCGTGGCTGCATGTGCCAGTAACAATAATAGTCATATTTACGGGGCTGTATTTAACCTTTCCCAAACAACATTTCTCCAAGTGTATATAAATCCAGATGTATTGTTGTGCACAGAAAAATACATCTGGAAGGCAATTTCAGGTGCGAAAATGTACAGTGCTCCCAAACAGGGCCTTAATGCTTGCTTGGTAGCATGGCTGAGAACTCGTCCGTGAAACACGTCTTGCTTAAGGTCGAACTGTATATTAGCTATACGAAGCAACCAGTAGCTCAAAAAAAATTATACTAATGGCATTTTTTTAGATTTATATAGTAGTGGACGGATCAGATCATCATCAGACTCAGCAGAGCAGAGCGCCAACTTCATGCTGGCTGTCAGTGCCCACAAGAAACCAAGCTGGGTTGTGGCCCAGCTAGAGCGAACAGGGCAGTTCGGCGGGAGAACGATGGGCCCCGTCCAAGCGGCAGGTGACGGCGGTGGGCTCGCACGCCGACCTCTCTGGCTGGTAGTAGCAACGAATGGAATGAGATGTTGAACGAGTCAAAGTCTGACGCTGGTGACGATCTGTTTGTTGTTAGTTCTCATGAGCACAGAAACTGATAAAGTAATAATTTACCGCAAGGATTCTGGGGTTATAAAATGGGTGAAGCCCTCAAGCCTCGGTGGAAGAAGTGAAATCAGTTCTCGCTTTGAGACTTCCAGATTGCACCGCAAGTAACGATGGAATGCAAGAAAGAAGACTCAGGAATGAAATCAATCAAACCTCCTACTCATACTACCCCCTCTTCCCCATAAGCCCTGTCTTCTTCGCCATCTACTTTAACACGTAGTCCTGCCCGTGTGAAAGCTATCAACACACCCCGCTCACTACAACGGTTCAACAACCCTTCTACCATTCCCGTAAGGTGGGCGGGCTTCATGTAAGGTGGCCCTCTTCCGTATTGATAACGTAGATTTTAAGCACCTAGAAGGAGGAAAGTCACGAAGTCATCAGTAGGAGTAGTGAAAGCAATACGAATCAATGAATTGAGGGCAGTCGAAACAGACAGTAAATTACTTGAAATAAAGGTAAATAAGTGCTCGAGCAATTGATTATTAAGTAAGTAGGCAGCGTAGAAGGGGCGGTTCTACTTAAATGAATGGCTCGTTCATAAATCCACTCGCTTGGCAGCAGTCCATTCCTACCGTACTCTGGCTATTCTATCTGTCTGTGTATCGCGTAGAGCACGTACTATGAATCCAAGTTCCCTAGTGTCGGACTCAACTCAGTCTGGTAGTGTCCCTGGTCCTATCGAAACAGCTACTTCATCCCTGGTGTAAGGGCTTGTAGCTTTCAATGTGTTCTTTCTTGCAGTAAAGTAAGGAACAATTGATCTCTCTTTTTGAGGGACCATAGGACTTAGGCTTAGTCCTAGAAGGTTGAATGCTTTCGCCACGCCCCGCATAATGAAACCTATGTCTTAGAATTAGGAATTTGCTTATATAAGCAATTATAAGATCCTTCCTCTATCTCATAGTCAAGTACTACGTAGGAATCGATAACAATTGAATAATACATAATTATTGCTGCATGCATGTTCACCTAAAGCATTTCTTACCACTTAAATGAACGAGGGGGATATCAGTATTTTGACTAACGGCTGTTGTCTAATTATTGAAATAGAAACACTCCCTTCCAAATGCTATTGTCATTCTCCATTCCGGTCTGTAGTAACGTACTTAGCGCACTAGTTCAATTTATTTATTCACTCTTCCTAGCATTGATAAATCAAACAAACTATGACAAATTAAAGGAGAGGAAAGGCAGGATCTGCTGATGAAAGTGGGCGGAGCCAGAACTAGGATAGGGATCAGATTGGGAGCAGGTTAGATGCAACCGCCGAAATCTGACTTCAAGTACGAGCAGGGATATTCGATAAAAGGAATTCCAATCGAATAAAGGGTGAATTCGATTAGTTGAACAGGCAGCAGATGAAGTGATGGGAGCTAGCTCACTTCCTTCAATGAACGGATTTGCCTTGATTTGAGATTTCTAATTGAATCAAACTCTCGCCTTTTGAGATTGAGTTACTTCCTTGCCTGGGCTAGTCGTAATCCCTTCTTCTGTACAAGATGGTTAGAGCTAACCCCAGTACTACTCCTTTGGCTGCAGAGTACCACCTCTTCCTCAACTAGATCTGGTATTCTTCCTCGAACCAGTGCTTCCTCGGAGGATGGTTCTACTTACTATCCCCTCTACTTTAGGTTTGGAGTTCAGCTACACCTTTTTGCTTTGCGTGAATGCCATTTTCCTCTGTGTCTCTTTCCTGTGGGTCCTTGGTCTTTTGCTAAACTTGTTATTTGGCTCTCTTCTTTGTCCCTAGTTCCTGTTTCATGCCTAGTTTCTATAACAGTACCTGCATCCTGCCTTTTAGCTTATCCAGTAGACCAGTGCTCTTTCTTTATCGAGAGAAGGGGGGGGACTTTATCACATCGAGGGTAGAGCGGTTGAAGAACCATCCATGTCGAACTCGGCTAACCCAATCCTTTCTTTTCAAATGCTTTCTTAAATTAGAAATTGCACCTAGATGCCCGACTTCAGATCCCACCCTCTCATGCTGACCCCTTTATGCGTACACTGCCAGATCATTTTCTCTCAGAGACCGCCTCCCCGATGTGACCCGTTAGCCCATATCTAATACTTAGTAAAGCCCATCACCGGTCTTGCATCTCAAAGGGCATGTGGTATGTCTTTAAGGCCTAGAACACTCTGCTCTCCGAAATGAAGGCCCAAGGAGTTGGACAGTTGGTCCTCTCAGGCTCCGTTCGGTTAGAGGGAATCCGGCCGTGGAACCGTTCAAAGCTTATATAAATTTTAGTAAGAAATCCGGCCAAGAATTGTTTCTCGGGTTCATTCAACCGGAAGCGAACGGGGCCTCAGTCTTGACATTCGGCTGTGGCGGGACGACGGGCGCGATAATGGACCGGCCCATTCCTCTTTTCCTTCTTTTTATTATGGAATGGGGAGCAAGCTGCCGCATTGTTGTTTGGTGGTTAGACTACTGAGAGCAGCCATTTTCTGGCATTCTGTTTGTTGTTTCCATATATTTAAAGATGCGGATACTATCTGTGAAAGTTACCATATATATTGCACATTTCAAACATGTGGGCTACTTGAGTATGTGAAAGTTGATCTCACATATTTTCCTTTCATAGTTAGAATTTATACGTACCTAGAAAAATTATTTGATGTGATCCATAGCGTTAGCATGAGCAATATACTATATATATATATATGTGTGTGT